TTTTGAAGATTATCGGATGGCCCATTCATTGAGCCCAATTTTCGAATACTAGTTAGAGCATTTCGACTGGTAGCTGGCGAATTACACGCGTGATACTTTTCGCCAAGGTCTGAATCGACGCAAGGTTGTCCGAATAGACTTTACACTTTACGCTTCCCCACAGCGAAAAGTCTAACAGTGTGATATCACACGATTTCGGTGACCAATCGACCAGCCAAAAATGTGAAATTATCTGATCAACGAAGTGTTGTCTCAATAAATCCGTCTTGTTGAAACCAACTGTTGCCGAGATTATAAGCTTCAATATAGGCATCAAACAGCCAGTTCTTGGCGCGATAACGGTCGCCATCTCCCCGGCATCATTTTTGAAAATTAATTTTGATTCCACTACAAATCACACCCAACCGTTGTTTTTCTGCTTGTATCTCTTCAGGTCGTTTTTCGTCCCAAATGCGGCAAATTCTGCTTGTTTATACAGCCATTGAGTCAGAAATGGGCCACATCGCTGAACAACATTTGGTTCGAAAACGTCATATTTTCTTGGAATTTTTCAAATTTTTTTTATTCGCTTTTAACTTAAGACTTCAACGTGAAAGCCCCATTTCCTTCCATATGTCAGTCCGAGTTGATGCGAACGGCGCCCAATCGACTCTCAACGGTCTTTGGGTGTATACTCAACTTCGATTGCTATATTTTCTTCACTGCATGCTGAACGTAGTCTATTCGTCGAATATTATCCAAGAATAAATAGTGGATCTGAAGATGAATGATGGTGGCGCGTGATCTGTCAAAAAACGGCTTTGAAAAAAGTATCTATTCTTGGATCACCCGTTATAATATTTATAATACGAAGTAACGTTAATATTGAGCTGCCTTATCTTGCAGTTAGGAAGGGACGAAATCAGATCATACCGACATCTACTTCTCATAGAACGAAATTTTGCACCCAGAAAATGTCTTCCTTTATATTAATTTAGAGTAAATAACAATAGTTTTGATATTAGTATGAAAGAAAAATATGTAGAAAAAATATTCCAAAAAGTTGGCAACTGGAAAAAGCTTGATAACCTGTGCATACCTTCCCTAACCTTAGTGCACTGGATGTTTGGGTCTTTATGTAATCGGTTGACTTGATACCGTATATATCCATAAATAGAGTTATGTAAGCATTTTGAACCCAACTTAACTGTTAGCCCAAAAAAATTAAACATGTTACCCTACCCTTCCTTTATTCGCTAATTATTCTATCCAAATTCTGTTTAACTCTGCACCGTTCAAATGTGTTCGTTTTCAGATTGTAGCAATTATATATATCTATTACTGATAAGCAAGTTGGTTTTAAAGTAGATATCAAAATATAATTATAAATGTGAAACTGAACATCACTGACATCGATTTTACACTCTGTTCTCTGATTAATACAATATTTTTTGGTTAAACTTGAAAATGATATTAACTCTTCAAGGCAACTCCGACACTTACTTCACCCTCAGCATAAAATATATAGTATAAATTTTATGGTATGTGTACTCCAAAAGTCACTAAAGTCCTCACTGTAAAAAGCTTACTTTCATATTGTGTCAAATTTTTATTATTTATGCCTCGTAAACTCATTGCTCTAATTTCATTGGTTAGTAAAGACCGCAAGGAAAAATAAATCTCTTACACTAAAATGCTTTTACGCCCACGTAAAATGTTAATACACAAAAGCACCTTGCCATATTTCATGAAAAAATCTCAATAATATGGCAGCAATAAAATGCCAATTGTGAAAATGCGCGAACAGTCGAAAATTATGCAAAAATTCGTGAGGAATAAATCAAACAAAAACAAAAATTGTATGCAACAACAACGAGCGCGACTTTCAAAACAAACTGAATGAAAGGGAAATGCGAATTATCAACTGAACACAGTGTTTTTACGAGAATTGAAGTGGTTGATGGGCTTACAAGGCAATGAAGAAGAAATTCGCCAAAAACGAAGCCACGCGAAAATAATAAAAATGAGAGGATATTGTTTTGATTACGCTACTCAAAAGATTTTTGTACGTATGTATACAATTATGTATATATGTATACATACATAAATGTATGTATTTGTGTCACATTGAAACTGCATGGCTAAGATATAAACAAGTAAATAAATTCTCCACCTACAAACGGATATTACTCACTGTCAAAGCTTTCAATAATATTTATGTGCAATCGATAGAACGATACTTAAGGAAGGCGATAAGGGCGAGAAACACGAAAAAGCATAATACAAACATAGCAATAAACTTACATTGTAATTTCTCATCCAAGTTTCCCTTCGATGTCACGGAGAGGGCGCGTATGAACTCCTCAAATTCTATTGAGCCATCCTGTATGGGCGGGAGTGTGTTCGTCGTGTCCAAATAACAGCAATTTGTGAAGATTTCACGCAGTCCAAAGACAGCGATTGCGGACGTAAAGAAATGCGCAGAAATATATGAGGGAGAGAAAAAAGTGAAAGAATGAAACGTGAAACATTATGTATCATATTTTATGAAATGCCAGTGTATGGCATAATGAGGATGAAATGGTCTGGGTTCAGATAATATACTGCTCATTATTAAAACAACAGCAATTGCAGCATAACTCACTTTCACCACACACCATGCGGAAGCATTTCCTTCCAGCGATAATTTATAATGACATATACAGACATACATGTTAGTTCCAACCTACTTATACAAAAAAAAGAATAACGGGTTACATAGAAGGCGAAAAATAAAATTTTGTTGTGTTGCAACAACTAAATATAACTTAAATAAGTACTAAAAATAGATTAGGAATAAGCGCCTAATTGTAGGCAACAAATATTTATTTTTATCACACTAAAGTGTTGTCTACATTTGGGGCTCCATCATCTATTCAAAAACAAACATTTTAATAAAAATACTCTTCGCATCACCCTGTTTACGCTATGTGTGCAAATACCCGTCAGTCAACCGTAACCGAAACTGTGAACCACGCATACTCGTATAATACACACACACATAGTTATATAATTAGCTCTGCTGACCGAAATTAATCCATAAATCAACAGAATGTCCCTAGACACTGTGGCAACAGCATTCACAGCAGCAGCAACGGTAGCGGATACTCGAATAAAAAATTGTAAAAAAATACAAGTCAGCAGCAGTCATGCTCGAGTGCACTTAACCCAGGTGACCGAACGCTTCAGATGTGCCAGTGAGTGAGTAAGGGTTACACACTATGTAACAGTGACAAAATATTATAGTTTACTATAAGCCCTTGAGCTAGCGCTTTAGATAAGGTGGTTTTGGGATTAAAAGTGATGAGGGTTTCAAATGTTCATTTTTATTGTACCAATTGTGGAGTTATGGTGGGTAAAAGTGTGCTTCACTGAAAAAGCCCACTACTTTTGTATGAACATGTGAATTATATCACCAAATATGATGTATCGTATATTGCAGTAATCAAAAAGTAAAGTGAATTTGTTTCAGAAATGTAAATTCTTGATTTATTCTTCCAAATCCATTTCTCCCTTGCACAGTAACTATTGTACGATAAAGTGCACTTTTGACAACGATTTGTGCGGTCATCGAAATAGTATTTTTTCAATTCCTGCTTCTATGTTAAATAGCTATAAGTCGAATGGAGCCGAATACGAAGCATGCGAAACGATATGAGTCGAATTTTTCACCTCACCTTACTTTTTGACCACAATAGTATATAGGTACCATAAATATTACAATATATACTAATATTACAATATATACATAGAAGGCTGAAGGGCAGTGTATGAGGCTTGCAAATACTTGTAGTTGCCATAAGCAGACAGTTATATTTTTGCGCAATTAAAACCCGTCTAAGATCAAGGTGGTTTCCTAAAATTACTTTCACACAACCACATCCTCTCCATTTTCCGTAAACCATATTTAAGCTGCCGATGAGAAAGCATCCTGAAATAAGAAAAGGTGCGATTACCGAAGAATTGCTAATCAACACTGCTATGCTCATACTGTTCAAAAGATTTAAAGAAACGTTGGCTAAAAATTTCAGGTACTAATTTAAAATCGTTTATACATATGCTGAAAATATACATATACCATTCAAGCGTCCTAGAAATTATGATATTTGTTAAATATTATTTACAATTGATCTTTATTATAAACAAGGACGAGGTCTATCCCACAACAGTCGGATCGAACCCGATTTATACCAGACCTGGGATTGTCAAGTGGACAATTCTCCTCAAAATTATGTCACGAAAGTGTTCTACTGCTAAAACAACAGAGCTGTGAATATTCACAGGTCCCTTGATCAGATCAAAAACCTAGAAGAAACTTGCATGGAAAACTATATGCAGAAGTAAATTGTTAATGAGCAGATCGTTTCCCTTTGAGTTATCACTTAAGAAAACTTCAAAAATGTAACGTTTACTTGAGAAACGGGTTTTGCCACACAGTATTTTCTTATTTTTGGGTTAAGTTTTTCACCATAAAGATTTTCCTTAAGCACTCCCAAGTATTTAAATACATGCTTTGTTAATATCTATTAAATATAAAAGATGCCAATTCTTAATAAACATCAAAATTATAAAATTAAATAATATATTAAGTTTCCTCATAAAATAGTGTCTTCACCTCCTCCTTTAATACAAAACGCCCACGTAATCATACATACTATATATTTAACGATTTTATACAATATCATCGCATTTAACGTTTGTTTCTGTATCATCAACATTAATTTTGTTTTGCTCTAATTGTTTCCGCCCTCAGTGCGGTTTGCGTTTTCTGCTGTTGCTTCTCAATTATCTGCCTCGGTCTTTCGTCAGCCATTCATCAATTCCGTCGATATGTCATTGCCAATGAGGGTAGTATTTGTGCTTTTGTGGTTTGTGGCGATAATCCCTCAATTACTATGAAATTAGTTAATTAAATAATTGTAACGCTTCCGGAGAGAGCGAGACATTGTATGAGTGCGATAAAAACGAAAGTTTGCGAAATTGAAATCGCAGGCAAAATGCCAAAACGAATGTTACACAACGGTATGCACATATTTGGAAATTAATTAATGACATTATCGATTAGGATATTATGAGTCAATATGCTAAGATATCTGAATCTTAGCTACATTCCGTTTGTATGAGTGTCGTGCAACAGTTTTTGGGGCTTATGAAATTAAGCTCAAACCTAAGTGGCTTAAAAAACCTGTAGAGCTTTTGGTTGTTATTAGGTTATTATTATAAATTCTGGGTTTCTTTCTATCGCTTTTTTTNTAATTAAAAATCCCTGGTTGCTAAAGTAATAAGTTATAATTCTTTCTCGTCCCGATTGATTAGTTGAAGAAAATATTCTGGCTTAACTTACAACATTTTACCGCGTTACAACTTTTTCTCTAGGATTTAAAAAAAAAATTTAAAGATATTGACTCATAAATAAAAAAAGAATAATCTCTATTTTTATTAAGCCAGTCTCTTAAATCGAAGTATTTGCTATAGGAGATTTGGTTGTTAAAAAATTCTCCATTAGTTATATTAATAAGTAATTAAAAGACTGCAACTTTCTCTCCTTTCAATGTGAATAACATTTTTCGGACCAACTTATGGTATATGAAAATTACTACATAAGATTAAAATCGGGTATTTGAAAAGAAAGTATTTTAACCACAAAATCTAGGGCTAATGATTTGACTGTAAGGTTTGCCGAAAAATATTCAACGCCAATGATATTCCGAACTTTAAAGCAGATATTTCGATTTTAGGGCCGAGGCGGAGAAAATAATTTTTTACTTATTTATCGTTCTCGAGAAAAGTGGTCATGTATCCAACTAAATAAATGAGTATAAGATATCACTCATGAAACAAATTTACATATTTCTTCATTGCTCATACTAAACTACGGGGTTTTTCAATAAGAGCGCTACAAAAGTAACAAAAATATTGTCCAAATAAATTTCATCCAAATGGGGCCAAAAATAATTGGTTATCATTGAGCGAATGTGATTCCCATTGACAACAACATGCCAGTCTTGATCATCACGGTAGAAGTGCGGTCCAATGACGCCGCCGGTCAAAAAACTGCACCAAATTATAATTTTTTTGGGATGCAATGATGACTCATGGAGTACGTGTGGATTGTTGGCTGACCGATAATGGTTATTTAGCTTATTGACGAAGACATTCAGCCAGAAATTAGCCTCATCTCCGAATATGAATTTTGGATCTAAATTCTGAGCATTTTGAAGTTACATAGCCCAATTCACGAACATAGAATTCTGATGGCCAAAAGGCTTCAGTTTTTGCATCATTTTAATCATTTTGCAAAATTCAACACAACAACGCCACAGAGATATCTTTTGCTGTATATTTTTATCAAATATCAGAGATGGAATCCTGCCCAAAGAAAGAAGCTGTTGGATTCTAGCTAGCAAATATTTCAACAATATTCGGTAATATATATAGAGTCTAGCAAAATCTATTTATTTTAAACTGAAGAGATTAACCGATTTGTAACACCCAGAAGGAAACGACAAAAACCCTACAATATACTTTAATTTAAATTTCGAAATTTCCAGAACGGAAACGAGGGACCCATTGTTGTGCTCCACGAATTGAAACTGCATCGTCTTCGTAAACTTCAATTCACAAAAATCACAAATTTCATTGGTAGCTTTCATGTCATTCTTCCCTGTTTTACACACAAATTTCAAAATATAGCGAATATATCCATTATTTTCACACATTTTTGAACAACTGTAACAGTTTTTTTTTTAAACTTTCCCGAATTTAACTTTTTTTTTGTTAAATGAAGCTTAAATTCTCATCTTTTTAACACTATTTGGTTTGAGACAATTTGATTTATATCACGACATCTATTAACAAAATACGAAAAGACTTTTCCGACTACCCAATATTTTTGGTATAATTCACCAGCATGTCTAACTAAATCTACTCATATTTCCGTCTGTCTGTATATACGGTAACTTGTTTAGGTGCCATACAAACTGACCGATCAAAATCCATTATCACGACAATCGGTTCTACGCAACAGGAATCAACAGATTTTTATCCAGCCAAGGAATGTCAACTCGGCAGTATACAGACTGAAGTTATTGTAAGTGTATGTACTATGTAAATGGTGCTTAAATTTTTTGTTCGATAACTTGTTGCCATTTGAAAGTAAATTTCATAATTCCACTCTCATTGAAACTTTCATACCGATTGGTAATAAACACAAGTTACTCTTGAACCGGATGATGTTTCACCAGAAAAGTCATTCGCACTTTCGATATGTGTGGCGAGGTGTTGCCCCGACAGACCCCTTTACCTTCTGGGCAACTTCCTCTTTCAGACGATCCAATTGTTGTCAAAATCGTATAATGTAGATTAAGGGATCGTAGTAAAAGATTTCTAGCCAATCTCAAAACAAAAAAAAAACAAAAAAAAACAAGGTCTTTTTGATTATTTATCTTGGCTTAGCCATCATGTGCGCCACTTTTACACGATTCGACCATGACTGATATCGCTTGACCTTGTCATAGTGAACCCACCTTTCATAACTGAGACTATCTGGGGTAATCTATCTAGGGTAATCTTTTTTCATATAAAAAAAATTTGTTTGCATTTTCTTTTCCCTTATGACCTTAGAATTAATGTAGAAGCTCACTTTAATATTGGACGGTTTCGGAAAAGGCCCAAAAATAATAATACCGTTCGACTTTCGGAGCGCTCGGAGTGCACACCTAGTACAGTACACACCAGTACCTCAAACTTTAAACATGTTCTTCTCAAAACACACTGTTTTAAACTGTCGAACTACTCAACCGATTTGCTAAAATTTTTTTAATGTTCAGAAAACGCCTGGATATCGTCCCTTATAGATTCATACTTTTTTGTAATTTATTGACAATCTTATGACAAAATGTATGTTAAAAGACATAGGTAAAAATTAAAAAAAAAAAGTTAATTACTTCTTAATTTATCAACATTTTTTCAGGATTCTAGAAGAGATGATTACAATTCATGCACTTTTTAAGAATAAATGGGTTTTTTGTGTTTCAGATGATCCAAACATGAAAAATCGTGTCCGCCAGTGAAAAAACGCATCACATTCACCCAGCCATTTCTACGACAGATGTCCTCAAAAAATGTTTTTATACACTCCGCGATATACCTCATGATATGTGGAAAAAGTTCTATTGTAGAATAAAAATTTCTATAAATGCCAAAAAAAAAAATAGGCTAGATGTATGGTAATCTATTTTTTTAGCTAACTCACGTGGCACCAATACATGGTTATTTTTGTATCCAGCCTTATTTAAAACGTTCCCAACTGGTGTACAGCTCCTGGGAAGTAAAGGCGTGATAGTTGAACTTGACAATTTCCACTTTCTTGCAACATTTTCAATAATTCTCCATGAATTTGGACAAGAAAATGAATAGAACTGAATCGACGAAACCAAAAATGTGCATACTTTTGCTGTTACCGTATCAGACTATAACACTTTTCAAGTTTTCCGCCTCGTGACTTGAGTGTTTTTATGTTTTTGTGAAAAGAAAAGTCTAAAATATAAAGTCTTTTCTCTTCATTGGTATTCATCTTGGAGGCTTACACAAACAATTCTGAGTCAAGAAAATACAAAACTCTCAGAGAAGTTTTTTATTACGGAATCTTATCTCTGTAATGACTTATAGTGCAACCCTATGGCACTTATACAACAAAATAGTGTTGCTAGAGAAATCCAATGCAAAAGTAAAGGATTTTTCGTTACTAAATCTAATATTATGGATTAATGTCCTCCCTACCTTTAATGATCAGTTTTAATAACCCAGAGTCTAGCCATGCAAGTTGACAAATTTTCCACTACAAACAAGATAACTCCAAGTTTTGCCGAAAATAAATTAAATCCACGTAGAAAGCACAAGGAAACACAAATTTTTTGAGTATTCCTTTAAATGCAACACTAAAAAGGCATTAGCTTTAAATCAGCTACAACAACGCTTGCCAAAAATAGCTACAATTTCTGTTGCATTTTTTAAGTGTTGCAAAATGCGATCAAGTCACGCATACATACATGCAACAGCAGCTGCAACTTGAGTGGCAAATCCACTCACATAATGTCCGGGGCGCGAAGTCAAACTTTTGGCGTTTATTTTGTTCGAAAACATTTATTTCTGCTTGTTTCTTGTCGCCTTGTGATTGCATGCAATTGAGTGTGGGCTACATACACGCCCACACCATTACACACACCCAAGTTGGAGGACGCAGAGCGCATGCTGTGGCAGCATATGCTGTGCGACTAAGCAAAATTTCATTGCATCAACTTATTTCATTTATCAACATCATTCATTCACTCATTCTTGCACAACTACTTTGCGCTGAAAAGTCACATGGAAACACACATTTATAGGTAATCCTTCATGCTCTCACACACACATACATGGCAGTATACAATTTTAGCTTAGCACTTGTTGAGAAATGTGCAGTTCGTTTTTTATAGAAATTTATATAATGTGGTGTAGTGCATGTGTATTTCCTTATTTATATACTTACATTATTCTCGTCGAACACTCGAAACACCAGCGAGGCAAATTTACTGGGATCGCCTTGCGGAAAGAATTGTTTGTAGATTTTTATAAAACCCTAAGGTGTGTACATATGTATGTATGTATAGACGCGAAAGCGAATGGTGATTTTTGTTGTTTTTGTAGTCATTATACACGCGCATTTGTAAATGTCACAGTTTTGTAGCGCAAATATTAAACGTTGCGTATACGCCAAGGCAGCCAACGCATGCGGGCGCAAGACGCACAAGTGGAGTGGGTGTGTGGCGCGTGTGACATAAGTAGATATTTCACAAAGCCGCAACCAAACGCGATATGACACACATGCAAGCGCGCGTTGGTGTTTATTTTGATTTCACGTTTATAAATGCGGGCGGGTATGTGGGTGTCAGTGTGTGTGTGCGTGTTTCCGCGTTGAACATTTGCGCGTTGAGAAAAGTGTTTTGTAGACGAACGGCGACGCGCCAACGCATGCCAAAATAGTGACACATGACACCGAATGAAATGACAATGCGCCCGTGACAGTGGTTGCGATAACAAAAGGTGACATTGTATGTAGCGGCGGGTGGTGATGGCGAAACCATTTGAAAGCGAGAATGGCAAACGTTTGATTTTAAGGAGAGCAACATTGTTGTGTTTAGTAGTTGTATTCACAGTTGTTTGTTGTATTGACGTGCGTTGAAATGGAAGAAGATGGTATAATTCAAAGCAACATTTGGTTTTGTTTGCGCGCGTAAAAGCGTGGACAACAAAAAAGCACACAGCAACAGTGACAAACGCGACAGCAGTCAAAAAGCAACAACAACACGCAGCAAATGAGAATCATCAGCAGTCAATCAGTGTTAGAAATGATGAACAGACAAGTGCGTTGTTGTTGTTGTTGTGTCACCAAGCGATTGAGACGTCGATTTCCGCAGCCGAAAGACAATTAACGTTGTACAATTTAAATAGTGTTTATTTGCACATTGTTGTTGTTGTTTTTTTTTTTTTTTTAGCAGCGCGCGCACAAGTGCCAATCAGCGACATTAGATTGTCATTCATTTGCATTTTCCGTTTATCACAGTTGTTTATTGCCGTCAAGTTCGCAGCGAGTGTCAAGTTGCAAATTTTTTATGGTTTCGAGTTAACGCGCGAGTGCGAGTGTGAGCGCGTTGTGCGTCGGCAATTAGCACGTTTTATGATCGCAATTATGTTGTTTAGTTAGGTTATGTATTTTTTTTTTTTTTTTTTTTTTTTTTTTTTTTTTATTTTTTTTTTTTTTTTTTTTTTTTTTTTGTTTAATATCCATTTAATGAGTTTTATTCGATGGCAGTGAAAAAGACAGAAAAATGTTAAAATGCAAAAATGAGTAAATTGTTGAAATATTTGTTAAAAATTATATACAAATCTGTTGATTTTACTGTAGTAATAAAAATTTTAAAATATTTTGTAGACTTTTCTGAGCAACTGTTTATTGAATTCGAATTTTAAAGCAATATACCATAATTTACAATACACGTTTTAAGAACCACGCCAACGGCGGCTCTTGAACTGGTACTAAACCTGCCACCTATAGACCTCTGCTGAAAACGCAGCAAACTGGCAGCTAGAGAATTTACTGAGCAGAGTTAGATACAAAGCAACCTTTTAGTTTGCCGAACCACTGCAGTATATTACAAGTCGAGGTCTTCACTATTGCGAATACAGCAGAGCTGGCCTCTAATACACCTGCAGACAACATCTACGTGGATTACCAAACAGCAATCAAGGCAGTAACCTTGTATCGTATATCAGCCAGAATTGATTTAGTAAGCATGGCGGCAGTGGAAAGTATTGCCAAAAGCATGCAACTTCACTTCACTGCGTGCCTTGTGAACTACAAAAGCGTCGAGGGTAATAAGATAGTGGACGAGGTTGCCAAGAATGGTCTGCGACTAACATTCGAAAACGTGATCAACGCTGGGAATCCCATGCATTATCTATAGAACTATTCTGAAGAGAAGCATGGTAAAGAAAGTCAAGAGCTAATGGAACGAGCTACCAGGGTGCAACACTGCAAAAGTCATGTGCAGAACGGTAGATCGAAAGTACACAAAATTACTTTTGGCACTCGATAAAAGAGAGTGAACGAATATGATTGAAATACTAGTTGGTCACTCTCCGGTGGCGACACACACCGATCGAGAAGACTGCAGGAAATGTCTAGAGAAGAGCACCAGGGAAACCATGGAGCATATCGTGTTCACTTTTCCCGCATTTAGGCTACGCTTTAAGCACATGGGGTCCCCATTGTATGATACACTATCTCCTCGATAGTGAGGCCACAGAGTCTGAAGGATTATTACTCCTCTTGGACGTAGGAACTGAACTGTAGGCATCGCAAGGGACAAAACTGACCCATGCGTGGCTTATTAGCCTACCAAATTAACTAAACCTTACTTTACATATTATTTATTACTATCACCCTTGCTATAATGTATAAATATGTTAAAATAAGGAAACTGATCATGAACAACAAGGCACATATCCTTGTAAAACTCAGAAAGGTAAAAGAAAACCTCTTTGGTGAATATCGCAGCTAGCGGTGATCGGATCTTCGAGATTCTAATCTTCCATAAAGCTAGTAAAAGTGGCTCTATCGATGATTGGACACTGTATAGGGAATGGCTACATACAAGTCCAAGTTAAAAAAAGAGCTCTTCGTGGATAGCCTTCTGCGGAAGTGAAAAGAACTACCATGCGTTCTCTCATTTATAGAGAAAAATCTACTTCATTGGGGTAGCTGAGAAATAAGAATAGTGACTGGACAGTGATGAGCAACATCTTTCCAGTATACAGAATTCCTTCAAACCTTTCTTGTCTGGCTCTGATGCATCGTACCGACGCAAGATTAGATTAGGACCATATTGTGAAGGCGTGAAGACTGGCTAAGATTGTGTTTATACCGAATCCCGGAAATATCTCACGTCGGTGCAAGGTCTTCAGACCCAACTGAAAACGTTTAAGAGACTCATGTATCTGCATATTAGGAGTATAATACCGAGTAGTAAACTGTTAAGGGCCCAACATGCTTATATAAAAGGCAAGTCGGTCGACACTGTTTTGTAGTATCATGGCTGGAGGTTGGCTTTATGTGCAAAGAATTTGCTTTAGATATCTATCTCGACCTCAAGAGGCATTCAACAATGTGCCTGAGGTGGAATCGAAACTTATGCACCTCATTTGAACAAATCATTATGAAACTATTTTTCTTTTTATTCTATATATAATTATACTTATAATGTCTTACCGGGTTCTAATCAAAAATCGAATTTTAACAGGCCAAAATTTAACAGAATCTCGGGTGATATTCAACTTTTTTTTTTTTAACTCTAACATTTTGTCAATTTTTGATATTTTTTTTAATCGTATGTCCCTGTACGGGATAGCTTCTACTTTAACTCGATCTTTCTATTTTTAAGATTCATCTACAGAGTAGGTCGGAATCACTGCAACAGTGGGGTTTTCAAAAAAAACTCGACCATATTTTCTGAAAGATATAAAAATATACGTTTTTAGGTTGTCATACTAGGTATTTTTTTTATAGTAGGAGGAAGCGTCGAAACCCGGAGTACCGGACTTTAATCCACCAAACCTAACTTACACCCATCTCATGTATCTGCCACGGGATCACTGAACAAAGTATTACTTCTGGGGCTTCTTAAAATTTACAATATACGTAACGTTAAAGCCTGAAAAACGAACTGTACACTATATTAGTGTTATAATCATAGCTGCTCAGAGAAAGTTTTAATTTTTTGGTTTTTATTTTAATTTTGTGTTAATTTTTTACCCATTTAATTTTCCTGTTTTAAAAAATAATTTCTTGGTTAATATGGCTCCATATACGTAAAACTTACTTGCTCTGTGAGTAAACCATTGGGACAGTCTTTCAGGAATCCTTTGTGCCTATTTTATGTAAAATAATTTTAAACAAATATATATCATATAATTTTTTGTATTTTATTGGCTTTTTATTTAGGGGCTTACCATTGTCGAATTTCTTTTTCTGTGACTGAAATCAAAAAAGGAAAAAAATATTAAAGTCGCTTCAATTACATACAATTAGGAAAAAATTATTAAAGTGAGTAAAAATTCCGAAATCATCCAAAAATCTGTATAAATATAATAAATAAATAATAAGTGACTGGTTATATGTCTTTAAAGAACTTCACATAATTACTCAGGTTTAGTGGTCCGAACTTCTGGTAAATTTTGGCGAGAGCAGTTGAAACTTTTACTATCCAGTTCTTTTATAATATAGTATTTAATCATTGTTCAAAGGTACAAAAAATAAGTTTACAAAGTTTGCAGAGGGTGGAAAAAATGCCAAGTCCTCCTCGTCACAATATCTATTGTCAAGATTTCAAATTGTATCGGATTTTGAACTAATTCAATTCAAATTTCACTATCGCAAGAAATAACAAAACTGAGAACATTCATAAAAATTGCCAATATTCAAAAGGTTAAGTGGATTATTTGACTAAGTTGGAACCACATATTTTAAAGTCTATACCATTAAATTCGGGTCAAAATATTTGGATATCATTGAGCGGTAGCGATTCCCATTCACACTAACGTGCCGGTCACCTAATCATCACGGAAGGAGAACGGTCCAATTACGCCGCCGGCTCATAAACCGCACCAAATCGTAATTTTTTCGGAATGCAATGTTGACTCAAGGAGTACGTGTGGATTACTGTGTGACCAAAAACTCATATTTGGTTTATTGACGAAGCCATTCAGCCAGTAATTACCCTCATCGCTGAAGATGATTTTTAAATGAAAATCCAGATCATTTTGGGCAACAATTTGTTCCAAATTCACGAACATACGACGATTTTGGTAGGCCAAGATCTTTTCGCAAAATGTGCCACGACGACGTCACAGAGATACCCACCGCATGGAAGACTGATTTGGGTCTTCCTCAATTGATGCACTGGCGGCAGCAATATTTTCGTCACTACAGGACTTCTTTGTCTCACTGTCACGGAAACATTTGTACTGTGCTTGTGGATTCAAATGCTTCCACTAGATGCTCAATTGTTGATCTGATAGAACGATTATGTTGCCACGACACAAAACCGGCTATAATTTTGAAAATAATTTGAGTTCTATAAAACGCTATGTTCGTATATGCCGAAGCTACCCATATATGAAATAATTGCACCTTAAATAACAGAAGGTGATACATGTGCCAATTGCTCGTAGATTTGAGCATCAAATTTGGCAATACACTAAACATCTAAACATTTATTTTCCGGACCAAACATTAGGTTGTCAAAAAATTCTTGCGGTATTTTCGCTAGTTGGCGCTGAGAGCGCGTAGTTCTACTTTTATTCGTCGCATCGGGTCATGCGCCTATACCTTCTTGGAAAGCTCATTTCACGCGCTAACACGTGTTTGATTTACTGTCGTTTCTTTTAAGTCGTTCGTGAGTTATAGCGTCGCAAACATGGAGAAAAATAAAGAGAAAATACGGCATATTTTACAGTACTACTACGATAAAGGCAAAAATGCATCTCAAGCCGCAAGTAAAATTTGTGCAGTTTATGGACCCAATACAGTTTCCATGGTTTCAACGTTTTCGTTCTGGTGTAGAGGTGGTCGAAGATGCGCCACGATCCGGAAGCCCTGTCGTCGAAAATTGCGATAAAATCGCTGAATGGATCGAAAGAGACCGGCATAGTAGCAGCCGTAGCATCGGTCAAGAGCTASGCATGAGTCATCAAAAAAAATTTTATGAACAATTGAAAATTCAATAAAAATACCGCAAGAAATACCGCAAGAAATACCGCAAGACTTTTTTGACAACCTAATATTTTGCTTATCATATTAGTATTTGGTGTTTGACAAACTCTTTCATAGTAACTTCTAAAATTTGGAGGAAATCCATTTTTCATACTTACATATTGGTCTGGCTCTAATTATTCTGCTGTCTCATAGTTGGTTTTCACGAACTATTTTTCGTATTACAATACAAAACACTACTTCTTTCGATAATTGATTCCAGGTGACCAATAAGTTTATATGAAACTTGATATAAAAAGTCATACTTATATCTTATCCAATTATCCAGTAAAGGAAAGCATGAGATAATTTGATATCAAATTTGAAAGTCTTTATCCTTCATAAAGGACATACTAATTTCGTTGTAATATTTACGTGTTTTATCAGACATTTTTGCTTTTTTAATTTTTTTTAATTTCCAAGAATATATATACGTATATATTCGGTTCTGACCGCACCGCACTTTACTCTTTTTCAGTTGCTCAAATTTCTAAACGAATTGTAAAGTTAATCGAAATTATTTCCACACCAACGTTCACAGTTCATTTGTCCGTCGACTAGTCACTGCTCATTGAACATTTGTAATAACAATAACAAACACAATTTACGATTATACTGTGCGAATATACTTATTTATAACGGACTGTGTAGAAATATTGACTTTGCACTGATTGCACTCCATTAACATTGATGAGGACAAAGAGGAGAGCGGCGAATGTGTGGGCATACATATAAGTATACATGTGTGTGTGTGTACCACATGTTTGTATGCATTTGAGCGCCAGCGGGAGTTGAATAAAATATGTTACTATATTTGAGTTGAGCAAATTGCAACTCGAATGCTGACACATACACTCACAAACACACACAGGCGAACATGAGGCCAAGCGCTTTAAAGTAGGTGGCAAGTATGGGTAATGCAGGCAGACAGAAATGGTCAAACCAATCCACTAAGCGAATAATGCCAACAGCAGTCAACACAATCAACAATGGGTCATACCATTAGTCAGCTACAAATATTATTGCAACAATGCGACGACAAGCTGCTGTGACATTGACAGCAGCCAGAGAAGCAGTACGGACGCTGGCAAGGCAGAGCAACAACGCAATCAACGAGCGCCAGTGTTGTATAGTATGCAGGCAGCCAACCACGCGACTCACCAGCCAGCCAGCCAACCAACAAACCAATCAACTAAATAACCAATTCGTCACAGCGTCCGTTCGTCTGTTTGGTCTATTTGTGCGCGCGTCTCACTAAGCAGGCGAGCAAATGCGACAATTGGTTAGCAAAATGAGCAAGCAGCCAGCTGAGCAGTTGTAAGGAAATCATTGAAGCGAAAGTACATAACAATCAGCGACGACGCCATCAACATCTTAAAGAGCGATGACTGGCAACCATTTATTTATTTCTTTATCATTGCACTGAAAAGAAAGGCTACCAGAAGACTGCTTGGAAGCCTGTGCACACAAGCATTTAAATAAGTATTGTTTTATTTGAAGTTCGGATAATTTTTTCCCGAAAATTAAGGATACGAGCGACTAGTCTGAGCATGAGTAGATAGCAATTAGGTTTTTGTTTTTTTATAACAGAAAAATAACAATTCAAATATATTTTATTGCATAAATCACAATTTTTAATCGGAAGTATGCGATCACATTGAATTGAGATCAATTTTGTTCAAAGACAGGCCATGAGCCCAAAGAAAAATATTTGTAAATATTAAAGTGGCTCATTATATAATACCAATGTGGTTGAAAGCCATAGAAATGCTCCAAAATAAAACACTAAGGTATCGAACTGACTAAAATACAGAAATGAAAGCTTGTGCCAGAGAAAGCGGGTTTCAAGGACACACTCTTCCCCAAACTTTATCGTGACGAGTCAAGCAAGAAAGCGTCCATACCGAAATTATCCACCAAAATCACTCACGAGAGATGCCGACTTCTCTTTCTCCAGTTCATGGCTAACAATTTTCATGACGCTTGAACTTCACTCCAAAACGAGGCATGTTTTCAACGACCCTCGACCGCCTTTTAACGCGGCTCCCCTCGTAGGTTTATGTTTTTGATTAAACTGAATCACCGTAAGCATTTTCCAAAATTCACAAGGATTCCACAGACGAAATTTGGTAGAAATACAAAATTAGAGTCAAATTCCTTATTCGATTGCAAAATATATATATATTTTTTTTTTTGTTTATCACAATGCATATTGAAATATTGCTAATAAGCTTTGCCGAAGTATAACCCTTCAAATAATTATTTCGATTGTGTGATTCTCGGAGATAAATATAACAACAGTGGTTTTTATTCCCAAATATAATGTTGACCTTTCATGCGCAAAGGAATCTAGAACAATCCAAACTGCAGGTTTATGGAAATAATAACATTTATTTTCTGCCATGTATACCCTATAAAGTATATATTTAAATGATCACTGAAAACTTTCACATTATAACTTTTGCATTTGACGTGATATCTTAATGCAATTTGGTATAGACTTCTTTCTAAGGCAACAATGTAATCAGATCAGAACTGAAAACTTTCTCATTTGAGAATGCATCTTCACGAAATTTAGTAGGAGTTAATGTTCATAGAAATAATGTAATATCCGCAGAAATTGTTCACATCGGAGCATTGGAAACATTTTAAGGTAGTAATATGGTAACAAATCTCTTTTTTTTTTKTTTTTTTTTTTTTTTTTTGCTTAATTTGAAAGTACAATGCCTTGATAATATGCTGTGAACATTTCACAGAAATTTTGAATATTTCGAGAGTTATAATGAGTTTTCTAGATCGCCTTGGATTCCTCTATCTCTGAGTTGCTGAACTTTCAACTCGTTTTTCTCAAAACATTGTTTCTCTGGTCGGCCCGGGTCCTAATTTTTTTTCTACTGATTAGAAAATTTTTATAAAAATTTCACACATAGGATTTTTCTTGTAGGTAAGAGGTTTGGGTTAAAAGCACCACCACATATACACAGATGAAAAATTACTTAAATAGCTGTATATGATGGAAAAATTTTGATTTCCAATTCATGCTCAGGTCATCTCAGATACCACACGGACCTCTTAGCGCATTAAAAGCGAATTGTTCGTTCATATTTGTTGAATAGGGTAATTTTATGAATTTTTTTAGTTGAACAAAATATCAGTAAAATGTACATAACTGCTTTGTTTGCATAACTCAGTGCAGCATTTCACCTGGAATTTCAGCTCTCCGA